AAATTGGTGGATCCTGATAATAAAATAAAACATATATGATGTAATTTCTTTATTATCATCCAAACAATGTTAAGCCCACTGACAGACGGAGTGAGCAACGCGCCGTGTATTGAGTGGGTCGGTCTGGCAGTAACTCCCGGCCCAATTTTTTCCTCTAACCCGCGGCCGACAACAGGCATTAAACATATACGAGAAATGACAATGATAATAAGCAGTGGTAAATATAATGGAAGGAGGAGAAAAGCTTAGAGCAAATATTATAACATTCTGATTATGAAAAATCATCTTACAAATATTCATAAATTTGGTCTGAGTTTGATTTTAGGAAATTGCAGGAATGTCATTGTTTTTATGTTATCTTTGGTTTTAGTTACGGGTTTGCTTTGCCTTGCCTGATTAATATACATAATTCAGTATAATTTGCATGAAAAGGATTGTTTATTTAGTGTTTTCTGATAATATTGCCTTAAGTAGTAGCCTCAAGTTATACATTGAATGTAATTTTTTCAGAAGATTGTTGAAGTCTGGGACCAACTTGGCGTTCATGGATGATTTTTTTTTCCCCACAAGCTAATTGCGATGGTTCTCTGCAGCTTTGTCACACTGTGTGGTGATGACATTTTTTTTTTTTTAGATGGGGGACTAACAATCAAGGCCACAACTATATTCTATTGAAACGTCCTTATTATAATTATTTCCAAATGATTTGAAGTATTTGCATAATATTGCATAAAATGTTGATAGACTGGAAGTCTGATATGTTTTGATTGCATTCCTTGTATTTATTAATAAGACTGCTTCCGTTTGATGATCAATAACTTTAGTGGTTACAAACAAGCCAGAGGAAATAAGATGGTTGGAAAATAAAAAGAACATTTCAACTGTGACAGAATGCTCCAAGTAACCATGAAAAGGTGGTGTTTTATGTTTTGGTTGATCACTCTGTTCATGCTAATTTGGTATTATTTTTGTGATTTGATATAATTATTCTGTGATTCTGCACAAAATTGTTTCTTACTTTTGAACTTCATGTAAAATGTTTGTAGAAGCCCCATAACAACACCAGTTTAATGTGATATAACCAAAGTAAGGAATGTTGAATGGGGTTTTTGGCCTGTGACCCGGCCATTCTATCTGACTGCTTTCCCTCCTCTGTCCGACCGAGGCTAATGAGAGCGACGGCTCCCTCGTGACAACCTGTGGGAAAAAAATCTCTAAGCTCCTGTGTTGGCTCTAAAAACTTTTTGTTGTGCAAATTCCCAGAGGTTGGATTTAGATCCCCCCCCTGTGTCGGTTTATCTACCCGCAGTGACTGAGCTGTTCATACGCTCGACCAAGTATCTCTCCTCCCTCCTTTTCCAAAACTTGCCTGGTTCCTTGCTCTGTTTCTCTCTCTATACCCACTTAAGCTCTCATTTTACTTAATAATTTCTCTCAGTTTTTCCTGCATTGGTCAATTTTTTCGAGTGGGTGTTTGGTAGTTTAGGTTTAGGTAGTTTTCTGCTGCAGCACTTTCCTCTGAAGAGATTAAGCTCTTGCATGAGCTCAGATAGGAAGACTATACTCGTGCATGCACGTAGTTTACTCCTCTTGCATCTGCCAAGCAGTTCTCATGCATGCTCACTCTTTGTGAGCATGTACTTGTGGTTATTGTCTGGCACTGTAACAAAAATAATTGCATGATCATCTTACTGCTGGCTGTTTTAAACAAGCAGTTCTCATGCATGCTCACTCTTTATGTACTTGTGGTTATTGTCTGGCACTGTAACAAAAATAGTTGCATGGGTAGCCGATCATCTTACTGCTGGCTGTTTTAAACATGGTTATCTCTCCTCCTGCAGTACGATCCGGTTGCTGTTTCACATGCTCTCTATCGTCCCACGTATCCACGTGATTTCATCCCGTTTCAATGTGATTGGCAGACGTCGACATTACATTATTTTTCCATTCTCGTTTGCGGGAGAAGCAGACGTCGAGTTTCTTGTTTTCCTGCAGGGAATCTCACCAGGTACTCCCGGTTGCTCAGGTAGGTAACAACCTGATCCAGCCACATAATCATTTACCCCTCACAGATGTTTTCCCCCGGGGCTGCCTCCTCAATTATACATCTATGTAGCTGTCTCCATCCAGTAAAAGTATCACCGGTGATCACCACCATCATTGCTGACCTCGCTATAAACCACAATAAGCGTGCTCAGTTGGCATAACGGCAGCTCTCTTCCTTGGAGTGCTGTCGCGTTGGTGGTGTCCACAGGTGGGCTTTTGAAAGATCTCACAGTCAGTGTTTTTCAGACAGTGGCCTCGCTTGATTCAAGATTTAAACTGCGTTGTGGGAGATGCCACAGAAAGCACAGATGTGGCACTCATGAGTAAATCAGTTGTCGGGATTTCCTAACGTACACTGTAACAAATTGCTGTAAATTTATGGTGCATTTCTAACAGTATCTTACAGTATGTCATAATAACTGTAACATACAGTTAATTTACAAGCAAGGGATGGAAATTTAACGGCCAATGTCATGAATAAACAGTTAAAGCTGTCAATTTACAATAATAGCAGACTACCGTAATTCAACTGCATGTTACATATATTTTATGAAGTGGTGGAAATACACATACAAGTGCAGTGAATCACAATCCATCTACATCTGTTGTAGGTTAATGTATGGAAGCCTATGTCAGCCACTGAAAAACAGGTCCTGTAAGTCATCATAATGAAATAGTATCTCATGAGATACGATGATGACTTTGACTTACAGGACATTACTATACATGCAGCTGTCACTTTTATCCAAAATGCCCATGGTTTGACATAAACTTATGTGGAGTAATTGGGGGTTAGGTCTCTTGCTCAGGGACACGTCAACTTGGCACAGGGAGCAGCCAGGATTCGAACCGCCAACCTTGTGCTGCACAGCACACCCTCCCTATCCCATGCGCCACCTTCACCATCATTTCAGTGGCTGGAATGTAAAGATTATAAATATTTGTATTATTCAAAGTGTTCATTGCCTAAAAGTCATTTGAGTGTTAATCGTGACCGACTGCTCCTGAACGTGACGTCAGACGCGTAATCTCAGTTCATCCAGAACACCTGTCAGTGCAGTTCAACATCGGAGGAGTTTCTCATTGCCTCGTTGGTAAGTGTTATTTGCCTAGCATGATTAACATTCTCCTTCCTTACATCTTGTTGTCTTCCTCAACTTTGTAATCTTAATATTTTACCAATGACAGTGTTTCAAAATATTGTATTTTGGTTTGTTTTACAGAGGCACTGGATTAAGGACGCCAGCCGTTTGCTGCGGTCAATTGAAACTGTTCCATAGCGTAATGTTGCAGTTAGTTTACCTTGTTCCTAATGATTTTAGGATTCATTTTTTTATTATTGAATACATGCGGCATATTTTATGTTTTCATCTTGTTTACAAATGCCGAACATTTTTGTCTTAAAGGAATCTAATAAACTCCAACCACTATGACCAAAATGAGTTTGGTTGTCTTTCTTTAATTTGGGGGGAATTAAATGCAAACGTATACGGTTATAAGTAAACGGTAACATTCTGGTATTTATAACACAAAAACAGTAATCGTATGGTAAGAAACTAATCCAATATACGTCCAACATACCGTCCAACATGCCGTAAACGGTAGGGCACTGTAGATAAAACAGTAAGTTACTAGCGTCGACTGCCAGTAAATTGAAGTTAATGCACAGTAAAATTTGTTCAAGTTTACGGTAACATACAGTAATCCATTTTACGGTAACAGTGTAAAAACCAGTTACTGTATTATACCGTAAATTCTTGGCGTCCTTGCTGCCAGTAAAATACCGTTAATTTACGGTGACATTTTTTAGAGTGTATGCATTCTTCTGCACAATTTGTGAGATAGCTAGTTGCGGGCAGCACATTGCCACAACGTTTCACATGGTCCTTAAAGTGCTCGCTCGGTAAATGTCCAACCCCATTTAGAGAGTGAGTAGAGAGAAATTGAGATTGGAAAATCTAGTAGCTCTTGTTCACTTGCACAATGAACTGGACTGACAACACAAGGTCACATACCCAGAAAACGCAACATCACATAAGAACACCTTGTATGTTTGGGGTACAAACAGGACTGGACTGAGCAACAGGCTCCCCACTGTGTGGTCAGAACATCGGGACAAATGGGACGTGGCCCACAGTGGAGGATTTTAAATAAACTTTCCCTTTAAAAACAGATGGCCAACAAACAGGGAATCTTACATGGTGCTGTTGCCTCCAATCTTTTCATTTCGGTTCTTAATCCCTCTGTTGTTAGCTGGTACCCCTTATGTAACCTTTGAGAAACTGTTTAGCATGTTTTTAATGTGTAAGAGACTTGTAGGTTTCTTCTCTCTTTGGTTTTTGTGGTGTGGTTATTACTGAAAATGATTTTATCATGAGAGCTGCCTACAAGAAAACGGAAAAAGAAAAGTGGCAGCTCTTTATGTTTTGGGGAAGCAAAATTCAGTGTAGCTGTGCAACATCAGGGACAAACTCTGGATACTTTGTGGATATGTGTTGTAATTTAATTCAAACCTTCATCGTTTACTCCTAAAGTGGAATAGTACATGAGTTCATTAATTAATTGAGTCTCATAATTGAGTGTTACTCAAATAACAGTTTGGTTATTTTTCCATGATCTCGGGGTGGAAGCAGAACAATTGGACAATTGGACGAAAATGTCCCATGTTGTTCGTCAATTAAGATCTTTAGACCTTTGGCTTAATTCTGCTCATTAATAGGGCTAAAGGGCTGGATAGGGCTTCTTAATCTACTTACATTCACTTTTTGAATGATGTAGTTTCAAACCGAGAGCTATTAATTCTCATGATTGCATTTTTAGAAACGATTCAGAAACATCTAAATGGTGAGTGAATGTGAACATGTGTGTGCACCTCTCATTGTTTGCATACCTTTGCATGCTCGTGAGGAAGCCTGTCTTGCAGAAAGAATATATGTAACAACACATTTACTACATAGGTATATCATATATATCCATTCCTTTATTATTTGTTTGTAATACAATTAAACAGTATTCTTTCAGACGAAAATGCTAATACAGTTAACATGGCTGATTGGAATCATCAGTTAAAATAAGCAAATTATTCATATGATTTAAATACAGAAACCACTCTGCCACAACACATTCACTATGTAATATCCATATACACGTCTGTGCAGAGTGGTACAATAAATAGGTTTCCAGCTGCATCTGTGTGGTTTGCAAAATGATTTACAGAATCTTTTTGTAAAGCATCATTAGTATAATTCATTCAGTATGTCTGGTGGATTGTATGGTCAAGGAATCTAATGTTTGGCTAAATTAAGATTTGATGATATATATACGTATATTTTTGTTGGCTAAAGCCTCCATAGATTCAACAAGAACACAGATACTTCACAGGAACACAAGTTTGCATTAACCAATACAAAGCACAGCTAATACTGTAAGTGTTACCTACATAACTTGTTTTAAACCACCACCCGTCGATTGAGCATTTCTTTTGTCAATTCATATGCATTGAGTATGTAGTAGCAACATGTGGGTGTAGTCGGCGAAAGGAAGTGTAAGCGACTAATCAGAGTCATTTCTTCTGCAGTCTGCTGCTCAAACACTCAAGTAAAGCACAAATGTTTGTTTTCTTTTGAGATGATGAAAGCTTTGGTTGATGAAGTCACAAAGCGTTGTTGTTTATTTTTGCGTTTTTACCCTGCAGAGGGATTTTTTTTCTAGCTCAAGGCACTTATGAAATACATTTATTTCCATTTGTATTGAGCTAAATTGGGTTTAGAGGCTTTACTTAAGACTACGTTCCAGGCCGGGTTCACTTTGGGAAAAAAAAAAACCTTGTAGAGGTAAATAGTTTCCCAACTTCTTGTGAATAAAAACATTCAATCACGTTTTTAAAGCAAAAAAGTACCAAGAGTCCGTAAAATAAAATAGTACCATTGTAAGTTACATGTACTCTTCAGGGAACATACAATTGCATGCATACTCTCACACTCTGCATACCGTACACACCCATGTCTCATAATACTGACAGCACAAACAACAAGTCCAGATCGAAACTTTCATCTTACACGAGTACAAGGAACCCTCCCTCTTGGTCCTCAAATAATATTAAAATGACCTGGATAGAAATTTTTGGGTAGTGGACATATCTGCAAACCACTGATACTGATACATTTAGCAACAAAACTTTTGAGGTCCATTGCTTTTTTCCACATTCTGAGTTAATTATCTGGGACAGAAATAAATGTACTTGCAAACATGTGGAGGAAAAGATTGTTGAGGATTGATTATTCTAGTCGACGGTGAAGGCTATTCCATCTCTACGACAGCCGGAGTCTCCCCCGAACCTTGAGCCGCTCTGTTTGGAGCGGCTATAAAAACTTGCGTGTTCAGATGTGTTCCACGACACAAAGTACAAGTGGCCAAAGCAGCTAAGCTTGGGTTTCGGGAGTTGTAAGTTCGGGAAAGATCAAACATTTTGGTGAAGGGCTTAAGGTTTATAGTTACACACAAACAATATTTCTTGCATTTGCACTGAAATGTACCTCAGGACATAAATCATGAAGTGCAGGATTTCCCAATATGCACACTATTTCTATGGGTACTGAGTTGGTGCTCTGGGCAAATAATCATTCTTTTTGTTAAACATTTTGTTCCACAATAAGACTAGATTAAAGTTGCAATTAAGGCATACAATGCTACCTAATACCATACATCATTCTGACGATGACTGGCCCTTTGCAACAGCTCCATTCCATTGGCCTTTCAAAACGCTGTTGCTAAATCATGGACAAATGTTGGCAATAATAATGATCTTTTTAATGACTAAATACTTAAAAAAAAAAAATCTTTGTTCAAAGTGTTTTTTTGACCATTGTTGAAATTAACAAGAAATCATTATGAAATTTGTATCCACTATTTACAAGTCCCATGTACATTCATCTTTCATATAAAGACACCCTGTATAAGGTTAAAAGCTGCTCTGAACAAAGGCCAGAGAGGCATTTAGGGTGAGTGGTGGTGACGCAAGGGATTCTTCCCACACAGCTCTCACTGCAACTTGAAAGAGAAAATAGCGACTTTGCAACTTTATCCCCCAACATCAAAGTTCACCCACAGATATTCAATGTAACACAAAGGACACAAACCCGAACCCTTCAGCACCAGTCGGGGTGTAAGTATTGCCAAAGGCCATCGTTATGTAGTACTTTCAAGAGCTGTGTACAACAACAAGCCAGTGTGAATAACCGGTATGGTAAAACACTTATACTATATAAAACCTTTATAGATCATTTTCCATTTTATAACATTTTATATTTTCACACTTCCACCATATAATGTGATTTTTTTTTTCATTTCCCGAACTCATGTTGAATGAAAAAAGACGACACAGAATCCCACACAACAAATGTGCATCCTGAATGAAATCTCATCGTGTTCACTTGGCGCCACGCGGCAAACGATGGCGTTCTCAGCACGTTGGATCGGCATTCACAACGTGGCACAGACGGGTCCGCAGCCGCCTAATCAGTATGCCGTCTCTTTCATGATGTTGCTGGAGAGGGTGTGGTTGCTGGAGATGCTGATGGAGTGGCGGATAAAGGGGTGGGGGTGCCTCCTGGGTGCGCGGCGGCAGGGTAAGCAGAAGTAGCGCAGCGTGGAGAAGAAGATCTGGCGGTAGGTGGCCGACACCAGGTTGTAGAGGATTGGGTTGATGGCGGAGCTGACGTAAAACAGGACGTTGGTCAGCATGTAGAAATAGTGGTAGAAGTCGTACATGTCGCTGTGCGAAAACAGGAGACACAGAGCCATTGTTACGTGTTGCATATTTAAGTGGTGCATTAAACATATTAGTATTTGACATATCCTTCAGATTACCTCTGTATGCAGCTTTAATAATTCATATATATCTGTGTCGAAAGGCAACGGCGTCGGTCCGGGTCCGGAGGCCAGTCTGCTATTACTGTCCCCTGATATATAAAGAGTCAGCTGGTCAACTTTCTCTTCAAGCTCAGTAATGTGCTCATGGTCTCTCTGCACAGATAAAAGCCTGCTTAGACCACACTGTCCGCTCTGGAAAACAGAGCACATCCCTGAATTTGAGAAACGTGCCAGATTAGGATATTGGATGCTTGGGAAGTTGTTGTTTACTCAGAATAGCATTTTGTTCTACAGCTGATAGTCCGGTACTATGGTCCTGGGACAGCAGCCCTTTGAATAACTTTGGGACTTTGAGCTCCACAGAATGGATCGAATTGAATTAAATTCAAAACAATGCGTGGTGGAGCGCATACCGCTTATGCCTATTTAAGAATGAAATAGGATAAAGTTAAATAAGATAAAAAATATACAAGGAAGAATTAACAATGTAAACAGATGAGTATGCTAAAACACTGTATTTCCATATGTTTCCATGGTGAGAGAAACCACCGTACAAAATGTATTTTCCAGCTGTGTGGATTTTTCAGAAAGGATGAGCATACGTGGGTTGGGTTCACTACACCCGTTTGCTCTTTGTCACACACACAAACTCAAAATACTAAATTGACCCCAATAGTTAGGGGACTGACTGGTGGTAAAGTCATGATTTCTAAAACTCACACATCTTTTGTCTTTTAACCAATCACTAGACAGGTCTTTCTGGAGAAAGACCTGTCTCCAAACTGGAGACCCTGTTTGTTCATCCTTCATGTTGAGGGGAAATAAACACTGAAGCTCATTTACTGAAGCGTTGTGTGTTTGATTTAATTAGGGACAACAACTCGTAGTATGGAAGGCCTAAACGTACAAGGAAAAAATAAATGAGTGGGAAACAACAAGTGTGTGTGTGTGTGTGTGTGTGAGAGCTCAAGAGAGAGAATGAGAATGTTAATGAACGCAATTTAATCACAATGATGTATCTGCCCTGCTCCTCTTTGTCATACTCTTTGAACTAATGAGCCAGTAAACAACAGCTACAGACAATATAAGCGTGTGTGCGTGCTACAGTCTCTGTGTATGTAATCTGCATGCATGTGTGGGTGTGTACGTGGGTACGTGGACTGCGTGTGCCTGTGTTTCTGCACAGAGGCAACACAACTGCTGGAGAGTCGCCTTGCGTCAGGGGCCAGAGAGGGATGTTTACTCACACAGACCAGTCGGAGACGTAGCAGTACATGAGGCGACGAGCGTGATAGGGCAGCCAGCAGACCACAAAGGCTATGACCACTGCTCCTGAAAACACAAGGGAGAGAGCCAGCGTCAGGGGCCGAGTGGCAGGTTATAGTTCTATGGATGGTGTGAAAGGTATGAAACACAAAAACATACAGGAAGGGGACATCTGTGCTCTCAGATTCTGGTGTTCTTATGTGAGACCTGTATGTTGGGTACCAACAAGCACAGACTGAATAAGGACATCTTTAAATGCTTGATGGAAAACGCACAGTAACGGGACGTTGTGCCATTGAGCTCAACAAGCCAGTGACAACGTGGATGCACAGCCGCAGCGTATCAACAAGGAAGTCATTTTAAATTGTATTTCACCGATTTAGAAGTTGCCTAGATTCCTTTATCTTTGAACAATGCCATTTACCAAAGAAAACAACACACTGAATCTACTACAGTACATCCGTAATGTCAGTGCGTTTAGATTTGTCTGCCTCATAACTCCAATAAAAAGACGATTGGTTTTTGACACAAATCGCTGCAATTGTTGCTACTGCACCTTAATATGGTCCTTAATCTGTGTGTTGTTTGACTCACTTTAACCCCGGTCTAAATAAATGCTGTGTACATTTGAAACGTCGTCCTCATCAATCTGCATCATGGGAATTTTTCTATCTTTCTCGTGTACAGACAACAATCGATTCAATCAATCAATTTACTTTTATGCTGTCACCTGATAATAGACAGAACCGTCAACTTGTTACAATGGATCCAAAGGTGGTGGAAAGGTCTGGTTCTGCACACTTAAAATTGATAATAAAGATGAGACCAAGGACTGAAGCTACAGGAAGCTCCGGTTTATATTCTTTGTAAATGGTTTCTTAGAGGATTTATGGAGATCCTGTTGGCACTGAATATAGTCAAGCGTATTAATCATGTGTGTGACGTCACGTCCATGAAAGTGGCCACGCTGTGGCTAACATGGAGTCAGAGGAGGGATGTCTACACTGGAGCTCTATTGGGATTTGCTATAAAACACCAGAATTCACCCTGAGCACCCGCGAAAAATGTAGAAAAGAAGAAAAATTACAAAAATGTGCTCTCGGGTTAAATCCCTCTTAAACAAATCAAAAGATTCCTTAAATGTGAAAACAAAATAAAGTGAGAATGTCTTGACTGGTCCGGTCCCTGTGACATCAAAGTGGACAGTGTGTGGCACCTACCTGAAATGAGTTTGAAACCCCTTAAGACTTAAGGAAACCTTAAATGTGTTCTGTGCAGTTGATTTAACTTAATGAAACCTTAACTCAAACTTTAAGTTGAATCGTGATTCAAGATTTTCTGCAACCGTCCACTGAGAATTAGAAAAAACACTTTTTTCAGGTTGCAGTCAGTAAATAAAATAAGTATCCATCTCCCTGCCGAAGGCTGAAATTTAATGAATAAATAAATTGCTTTTTGGCCACAGTCTTAAACACACCTACTCCGGAAACATCCCAAGGCTGTAATGTAATGTTGTTAAAACCAAGGGATATGTTTAGTCTAGTTTGAACGGAACCAGCCACACAGGACTGGTATGGACAGAGAATGACCTTTGGAGAGTTATATAATGATATAGATTTCACCACATAAGCTTGATGAATTGGATTGTCCTCAATGCCTTTTTTAAACTGCTGTGAAGTATTTGGTACAATCAAATTAGTTCACTTGAAAAAAAAATACTCAGATAAATTAAATTCATATTAATATCATGCGCTTATTCCTCATCTCATGTTCAAACGCTTATCTGGGGTCGGATTGCGGGGGGAAAATAATTCCAGCAGGGATCCCAAACTTCCCGTTCCCTACACCTCGGACTGGGGGATCCCAAGTGGTTGGACCACCTCAGTGACTTCCACCAGGCAAATTGACCTCAGCCTCTAGGTCTGCCTCTACCAAAACGGGCTAGAAGTTGGATTCAAGAGTTCCTCAAAGTGCTCCTTCCCGATAACCTCTTCAGTTGCGGTCAGCAGGGTTCCATGCAGCTTGGATGATCCCCCGTTCCCCCCCCCCCCCCTGAGGTGCTGGATGGTTTTACAGAAGCACTTCGGTGCCGACTGAAAGTCCTTCTTCTTGGCTACTCCAACCTCGGCCAACACTCGCTGCTTCACCTCCTTTAGGGCCTCAGCCTACACGGCCTGGAAACAATGGACACGGGGTGCCGCATGTGGTGCAGATTGAAGGGCTCTGATTGGTTTTGACTATGTATAATGAGTTAAATATTATGTTTATTATGATCATTTAGGACACGTTATGATTAAGGTGTATTAGCTATTAGATGATAATGATGATATGATGCATGTCGTATTATGTTCACTTGAAGAAGCTCTGTGCCAAAGGTTTATTCGTTGAATGATATCGATCAGGGTCTGGTTAGTGGTGAGCAAAGGAATTTCAGGCTCTGTCACCAGATCGAGCCACTTAGAACGGTAATAGAATGACGGAAGGAGGGATGTCTACACTGGGCGGAGTTACTTTTGAATGTGCAGCCAATCACATGTTAGAATAATGAACACACCCCCAAATGTGAAAGGCTCTGCCAGAGAATATGCAGGCAGAAGCTTCTAGAGATCCATTGTTGTTGGTCATATTCAACTGCGGAAGGAAGATACTCCACCGAATACAACACTATTCATAGGGATATTCACTTGCAACTGTGTCTGCTTCTGCTAGTTATTAAATCCTTTTTGGATTGTTAACCTGGAGCCATCTGATTGGTTGAGCGGCTGGAGGAGTAGTGAAAAGCTCTAGCTGGAGCTACACCCAACACACCCTGCAAAAAAACAACATTAGTGAGTCAATGCCTGTGAGAATAGATAACATCAGGGTCTAAAATACCCTTTTTCGTGTTTTCTGTGATAATATCATAATATAGATTCTTCAGGTGAAGCTTTGTTTGCAAACGATGCCTCCATTGATTCGTACTGATCTTTCAGCGCTGGACACTTTTAAGAACATCCGCGTACAGACACAGTGAAGGAGAGCTTGAATAACCAGACAGACTCAGGCTGTGAAAGCCATGGGAGTGAGCCACTAACGCGTGTGTCTTTGAGCTGCACGCATTCAGTCCATTAAAAAGACATCTCACTCGACCAGAGCGTCCTCCCTCCTCAGGGCTGTGCTCATCACGATATGTCATTGTCTGTTGCTTATCACTAACACACACACACACACACACACACACACACACACACACACACACACACACACACACACAATATGCTTGAAATCCTGGGCTTGTAAAATGGGGTGGGTGTTGACATTATGAAGTTCTAATACATGTCCACTTTAAAAATGTTTTACATTCCCATGTCTTCTGGGTTGCTCTTTATTTAATTCCATCGTAAAGTTTTACTGGCGTTTTACAGACTTTTACTGCAGTTGGCAGTGGACCTCCAAATGTCTTCTGGTCTACTTTTGGATAAGTGGACAAATGCACACAGACACACACATACACATTTACTTAGGTCACTTTTGGCGAAACAACATTGAGTTAATTTCCTAAAAACACTTGCCTAACCTTTACCAAATGTCCATATAGGTGAACAGCTATTATCCTGAATTGGATCATTCGTATCCAATAAAGGCTGAAACATGTCCCCAACCTTGACGTCCGTTAGGAACACACGCACACAACAGTCAGTCTAATAGCGTTAAAAAAGAACAGAGAAATAGAGGGATGACCAGAGGGGGAATTTAAGCCTCATTGTGGACCATTTTGCATTTTGCTTTCAATTGATACAGACCATTAAGCACATGACAGAGAGAAATAGTCTTTACATCACATTTAACTGATAAAGATGACAATCAGAGTGAGAGTATGAGGAATAATTTCAAGAATCCTCTGCCCGTAATTGAAATTGCATGGCGTTATCAATCTAATCAGACTTACGCCAAAATGCAACAGGACAGATTTCAGCATCGCCCGCTGTGACTGGCAGTATATTGGAACTATACCCATTCGGCCGCCACATTTATTTTGATCAATTTAAGCATTCATTTCAATCAATGTGATATGATGACATTGTTCTGAGCAATGACAACTTAATCATTATAGAAATTCAAAACGCATTTAGTTACAATTACTTGATGAAAGGGCAGAAATGTCTCGTTCAACTTCGTACCAGTTAATCACACATGAGCAAAATCACAGAGATATGTATTTGCATTGACTCACACAGTTGAAAAGAAACACCATACTGTATTCACCTCATATCATCACTCACTAAAATTAGAGCTATTCTTCAAAACGAAGTGCACTTCAAGCATCTCGTTTACTTTAAAAGGTTATAAGGACCAAAGCTAGTTGATTAAAGATTCAAGATTCAAAGATTCTATTGTCATTTACACACCGTTTACACACTGTGTATTGAAATTCTTGTGCTTGCCTTTCCGGAAAGCCGACCAATTTTAAAATTAAAATTAAAAAAAAAAGAAGAATACAATATTTACATAAATGTACATGAAATAAAAAAATAAAAAATGAGGTGAGGATAAGGCAGAAATGAGGTGACGAGGAAAAGTGCAAAACTGAGCAGGTTGTAAAAGAAAAAACTTAAATTAAATGAAATGAAATGTGTGCAATATAAATTAACAGTACAGTAACAGTAAGTGAATCCTAACTAGCTAGTGCAGACCAGTTGTGAGTTGTGAGTTAGGTTATAGAGTCCTCTCAGCTGTTGATGACTCTAATGGCAGTGGGGAAAAAAGAGTTTTTCAGTCTGGTGGTCCTGCATTTGGCACTTCTGTACCTCCTGCCTGAGGGTAGAAGCGTGAACAGACCATGTTGGGGGTGGGTGGGGTCTTTGAAAATGGAGGCAGCTCTCCTGTGAACCCTGCGGTGGTAGATGCTCTGCAGAGAGGGCAGTGGGGTCTTGATGATCTTTTCTGCTGTCCTCACCACTCTCTGCGGGCGTTTGCGGTCCATGGTGGATGTGCTGCCGTACCGCACGGTGATGCAGCTGGTCAATATGCTCTCGATGATACAGCTGTAGAAGTTGCTGAGGATCTTGGGAGACATCCCAAACTTCCTCAGCCTCAGGAAGTACAGCCGCAGTTGAGCCTTCTTGACCAGCTGCGTTGTGTTGAGTGTCCAGGTGAGGTCCTCACTGAAGTGGACCCCGAGGTATTTGAAGCTGCTCACCCTCTTAACTTCAAGCTTCTTGATGAAAAGTGGTTGACGAGGTCTCCTCTCATTCCTCATGTCCACTATCAGCTCTTTGGTCTTGTCAGTGTTGAGGGTGAGGTTGTTATCCTCGCACCATGACACCAAACTGGCCACCTCCCTCCTGTATGCCGCTTCGTTCCCCCCAGGGATGCGTCCTATCACTGCGGCGTCATCAGCAAACTTCAGGACGATGTTATCCTTGTGGGAGGCGACACAGTCGTGGGTGAACAGGGTGTAGAGGACGGGGCTGAGGACACAACCCTGTGGGGTGCCGATGTTGGTGAAGATGCTGGCTGAAGTCCTGTTTCCAATCCTGACAGACTGAGGCCTGCCAGTCAGAAAGTCAAACAGCCAGTCACAGAGGGTGGGGTGCAGACCGAGTGTGGAGAGTTTATGGGTGAGTTTGTGGGGGACGAGCGTGTTGAGAGCGGAGCTGTAGTCGACAAAGAGCATCCTAATGTAGGAGTCCTTGTTTTCTAGGTGAGAGAGGGAGTAGTGGAGGGCAGCAGCTGCGACCTGTTGCGCCTGTAGGCGTACTGCTGGGGATCCAGGGTGTCTGTATGCTGCTCTGAATGTGGGACAGTATCAATGTCTCAAAGCACTTCATGATGATTGGAGTGAGTGCTACTGGCCTGTAGTCATTCAGGCAGGTGGGTGGGCTCTTTTTGGGGAGGGGAATGATGGTTGTGGTCTTGAAGCAGGTGGGGACGGTGCTCATGCTGAGGGAGAGGTTGAAGATGGAGGTGAGAACATCAGTCAGCTCATTTGCACATGCTGTCAGGGCACGCCCAGGGATGTTGTCAGGCCCTGCTGCCTTTCGGGGGTTGATCTTCCTGAGAGCTCTGCGTACCTGGCCTGATGAGGCTGTTGGTGGAGGGGAGGGGAGGGGGGTTGGGTGATCCCGGCGTGTGTGTGTGCCTCTCTGTGCTGGAGCTGGAGGTCTCGAAGCAGGTGGAGAAGGGGTTGAGGTCATCCGGTAGGCTGCCTGTGGCGCTGATGGAGCTGGTGGTGGTCCTGTAGTCGGTGATGTGCTGTAGGCCTTCGCCACATCTGCCTGGAGTCAGCAGTGGAGTAGAAGCCATCCAGCTTCTCTCTGTACTGCCTCTTTGCCGCTGTGATGGCTTTTCTCAGTCGGTACTTAGCAGCTTTGTACTCAGTCTCAATCTGAATGCAGCAGAGCGAGCACGCAGCATCTGACGTACCTGACTGGTAATCCAGGGCTTCTGGTTGGGGAACTTCCTGACGTATGGTGGGCACAATGTTGTCTACACAAGTGTAGATGTACCCGGTCACATACTCTGCGTAGTGCTGTACCTTAACAGAAGATTCCTCCCTTGTGGCTGCAGCTTTGAACACATCCCAGTCTGTTTGAGCAAAACAGTCCTGCAGGATTATACTATGATACCAGACGTTTACGTGGATTTTTTAGGTGCATAAACATTCATGCTCTGGCTTTTGGTTATGTTTTGGTGTTAAGTCTCTTGAGGCCTTGGCGGCAGGAAAGATTTCCGCCTCTAAGTTCTCTGGAATGCAGCACAAGGTCGAGGTTGGGGGAAACATATTCGCAGCGTTCGACAAAATTGCCTTCTAAACAATAAGACTCGTTAAGACAGTAAGACAATCAGTGTGTTTACATGATGGTATAATTGGAATCTTTGCTTACTCGGACTATGCTATCTTTCGGGGCAAGTGCTATTATCCCAATATACACGGCAGTGAATAAATCGAATCATTGGCCGAAAGCATGTCATATTCGATACAATAGGTGGCGCTGTTTTAATTACAACTAGTTGTGATACAGCCATTTCCGCTTGACCGTTTCACCACTACCAACAACAACCAACAACAACAACATCAACATTACGAGAAAGACGGCGAGCGGAGAGCAAGGGGAAGCTACATCCCTCTACTATGTGTGCATGACGTTAACAGGAGCACAGCGAATGCGAATGGCGCTATTGGCTGATTTGATAACGGAGAGAAGACGCCGTCGGGATCTCAAGCATCCGCAAAGACGCAAAGTCCAGTTCCTCATCCGATTCACCGTTACATGCCCGACTAAGCCAGTTATTCGAATCCATGTAACCACGCTGAATATAACTTTATCTACATTAAGCGGATACCTTTACTTACCCGGATAACTGTGTTGATTCTTAAGGTGTGTTATATTATATAAATCAATACCATTTAGCCATCTCTCCTTCTGTATACGGTAATGTGAAAGTACAAGTATGCATGTTTTTGTCCGAATCGGAAGGGAGTCACTTACGCAGAACAAGAACCCCGTGGCGGAGCGACTGAGCGCGGTTGGGCTCCACGGTGACATTCAGCATGGTCAGATTTCCCCCGACGACACAGACGCGGTTTTCCTGCTCTGCCTCACGGAACATCCGCAGCAGGTGATTGGCTATGACCCCGTTCAGTGCAGATATGACCACCATGGGTAGCACAAAGGATAGTAACACGTTTACCTGTCCAGGGAGGAAAGATAAAAGTTAAAACGTATCACATCCTCAAATTTGTTTTTATCTTCTAACAAAACATCTTCTATATACTCAGCGGTAAATATATAAAAATGTTAAATGGTCGACCTCCTTTTTAATTATTTGGCTAATTGTGTTAATTATTTGGCTATACTTTAAGAGGCCACACCAACAAAGAACCTGAGCTTATTTTCTCTTTAAATGAGTGGTGGAGGAAAACAGTATAACAAAGGGCACAAGAGGTGCCTGAAATCAGAGGTGCAGCAGAGCTAACTGGGTTGGAACCAATTCATCAGAAGTATGGACACATCAATCGTACAGGAAAACATTTTGACTTTTCATTTTCTTTTCTTTGTTAAGGAGAAACACAGAGATATCCTATTTCATGAATCCTTTGATAAAATTCAGTATGAAAAGTTTTGCTCAAACAATTTCCGTCACACTCAACTGGGCTGCTGTAACATAAAAGAGGGGCAATAAAGTGAACAGCGGAAATTAATGAGAGGGAATAATGGAGTGAGAGCCTGGAGGGGGGGAGAAGAGAGAGGAGAGACGTGGTGCTGCTGGACATCCGTTATGACAGCCGACTCCTCGCTGGAGCTCCCATCTGATTGCATCGAGCAACGTGAGAGGACGTTGAAGAGAGAAAACCTGGATGGATATGTGGGGTATTTTATTTATCAATGTAACTAACAGTTCTTCCCTGCAGGGTTCATCACTAACACACACACACACACACACACACACACACGGCGGCGTCGTTTTTTCAAGGGATAATCACGGCTGAAAGATGTTAATGGATTTAACGAACAGGCTGGCTGACTCCTGAGGGTCCCCTGCCTCCTAGACATTGTTGACTGATTAAAGCTGAAAGGGAGAGCAGAAGAGGCACCGCGAGGCAGCCGCGGGTTCAGAGTGAGGCAAAACCTCTGCTTGGGTGGAAGGAAAAATAATATATAAATCTCGGAAAGCAGCCCAAACAACTGCTGGAGCTATTGTGGATAATTGGAGCTGAAGTGCACGGAAATTGAGATATTATGCAAGAATGATTGGGGGAGAAACTGTGACAGTTAAACGTGTACAATAAGGTTTGATATTTCCAGAGGAAAAGGGGAAAAATAAAAGGGGTGTAATGTTATACAATCTTGAAATGAATGTTGGAGGATTAAAAAGTGGAATTCAGATCAACAACTGTGTACTTTATATAACTGTATAACTATACTATATATTACTCTTGTCGAGCTTTGGGAACCCATTCTTTTAACTCACCTCCCCGTCACAAGAGATTTACGACTTTCCTCCGTGACTGAGAGAGGCAGTTTCTCACCGTGATAAGAACAGCAAAGCAAACAAAACATATGCATGAGTCAGGAGTTTAGTATCACTTGCCGGGGAACCAAGTCTGTGCAGGTAAGCGTTTGTGCTATTGAGGTGCATTTATTCTTTTACAACCAATAAAACAAAAACATCCTACACTTTTTTATCATACATATTATTGGTCCTTGTGGATCTCGCCAAATACTACAAAACTTCAAGATGACACTTGAGTTCTTCACAATTTCAATATGAGTATATTTACTCATATTTCTAAAATAGAGCTGAATCAAAACGACCGGATGTATCAGCACAACTTTCAATTCTCATTTCAACGGCCACTCACAGTTCGTTACTTATTTTGTATTTTCCCCGTTGACGAGTAAAACTGCAAGGAAGGTTCACGTCTGTCATGATATCACCACGGCTGCTTACTAACTGGGCCAACTGACTCCCAGTTAGAAGGCCTGCTAAATGAGCTTTTAAATTCCAATGTTCCAAATTTAGCAGATTATATGATGAGCAGCTCACATTGTCTGTCTTCGGGCTGAATATTTACAGCGCACAAAATACAACAGAGCAGGTGCAGGACTCAGCACTACCTCTGCTGTGTCCTTATGAACAACCAGTGGAGCAAAACCTCAGCAGACCACTTTGCGGCGTGCGGGAGAACTGTCGACAAACCAACGCATCACTGAAAGTGTTTATTTTTTTCTTTCTTTGACTCAGATTCTCCAAAGGAAATCCACAGGCTTTACAGTCTAAAACGTCCCCCTGCTCAGTTAATTCCAGCTGTGTACTTTTTTTGTGCTTCACCATTTTAGCTCCCTTAAACAGGCACCTTACTACTGAACATACGCTCCGAGAGTGCCTCTTATATTGTTCTGATAACATTACTTACATTACTTAGTTTTTAATTCAAAATTGAATTTTGCTTATAATGCGATTGAGAGAGAGAGACCACATATAACCGGAGTCATATATTTTTGATTTACTCACAACCTTCTTGAATTTTGAAGATCAAAGCTAAAAAGAAAAATGTCAAAAAAGTCTCAGAATTGAATAAGCATTTAAAACATTTGCGGTTATTTCTCTAAAATCTAGGAAATCTAAATAATAATTCTAAAATAAAACATTATCAAATGTCCTAACATTTATTATGTTACATCAACTGTAACATTATAGTTACCACCAACATAAAAAATATATAGTTTTATTTTTGCCGTTGAACAGTGATCTGATAGAGCTGAGATTATATTGGGAAACATTCAAACAAACAAATTCAAAAGTGTAATTCAGTTTCCCACCTCTAGTTTCATATTTAATAAATGTGTCTTGAAAAAAACTCTTGGACTGTGTTTCTCTCCATCTGTAAGCACATATTTTGTCATTCTTTCAAACGGGTTGGTGGACTCAATGCCGTTACACAATGATAGAATTCCAGTGATGCCCATCATTTTGCCCGGAGGACATGCTGAACATTTCTGTTTTATACAACTGTGTTATTACCTTGCTTACATCCTCGTATGTGAAAAATGTTATATAATATCCCCATGGCAACATCTCGTATGTATTGTTTTTGTGCTCTCCTTCTTTCTTAATGTCTTTCTAACACACATTCAATTGCTGGAATGGCCACTGGCAGGCAATGAGACCACTGTCCTCCTCAAGATTTCATCATAAAGAAAAAAAGGAAGGAGAACACAAAGGCCACAAAAAGCTGATGGACAACTTTAAATTCAGTACAGCACTGCTGACACGGCCACTGAAACCTCTTTCAGTTGAGTCTGCTCACTCTGTTTTCAGCCTTATTCAGGCTTTCTCTTTACGAAAACCTTGGTAGTATTGAAATAATCTTTTAGGCTAGGCTTCTCAATTTGGGTCGTCAGATTGGATTTGCGTGTCCAGACATCCCCAATCTATCTATGCGGGCTGCTATTATAAAGCCATAAGCGCAACATTGGAACCCATAAGCAATCGGTCTGAAAATGGATACGTCTCGAAGGAAGGAGGCTACATCTCTGTGGCCAAGACTTCCATTACAAAGCTTTACCAAGCACTGCTTTACAGTCATCTTGAGAAACGATAGTGCTGTTAAGGCAGACGAGACTGGTATACATTGTGATAAAGTGGCAGAAAGTCAAAACGAAGTGAAAGTGTCAAAGTGAAAGTGAAAGTGACATTTTAAATGTCCCATTTAATTGTTTTGTTGATGTTTTCTTGTCTATGTCCATTTGGGAAACATGGCCACTTCATGTGGACAAAGGTATGCCAATGGCAAATTTGATCAATTCTCTACACTTGGAACACCTTTAAACGAACCGTAGGCGTACATTTAGTCGGGAAGACAAGCTGAACAATCGTGTGCATTTCGCAGGTTGCAGCCTCTCTCCCTGTGGTTACGCTGTCAGCTGATTGGGGGCGGGCTAGTTTAGAACTAGCCAATCAATGGTGGCCACTGTTTTCGTAAACCAAGCGCATCGGGAAAAACTGTTGTCCTGTGTGATGCTGTCAGTTGTCATTTCCGGGCGCCCCAGATGCAGCCCTCCACCACCCAGGACACCTTCATCAGCAGCAAAACCACCCCCACCATGGTCTGGACTCCCAAGGGGGGATATGCCTCGCCTGATCTGGTGGTTTATCCTACGACAGGATGATCCAAGCTCCAAAGACTTTACACTATTCATACCTGTTTTACATTATTGTTAAATTCAACAAGTCTGCCCCATATTGAAATGGGTCAGCTGTGTTTGTCCCCAAAAAGCAAAGGAAATGTTGTCCTATAATATTGACACTTCCGAGTAAATTATTGTATGAAGATTTTTTTGTGTCCATAATGAAAAGCATACACACTAGAGAACAGATTAGGTTTTGACAGTTGAGGTGTATAGAATTACCTCCAACACTATAAAGGTCCTGATAGAGTCAAATGCCTTCCACCCACATTGTACATATACAAAGCTCAGACAATATTCTCTTTGTTTATTAACTAATAACATAAACATAAAGTGTTACTTTTATACGCAACAGCTGAAAATTGTATGAACACAGGCAAGTGGTTAATTTGAACACAACGCAAGTTGAATTAAAAGCACACACTAACAAGTTAATGAAGTGCAACTGGGCCGGCTGATGAGGTCTCAGGGAACAAGTGCAAGAGACTTTGCTGAAACAAATAGAGAAGCAGTCAAATTAAACACAAAAGTGGGTTTCAAGGCTGGAATGTGAGTATTTTTATGGCTCTAATGAGTAAAATGTAACAATTTGGCTTCTTTATTTGCTTGCGCAAAAAAGCTTTGCTTGTTTCTATCCCTTTCCAGATGAAGTGGAAAGAAGCTCTGCTGCTCTTTCATTAAGTATGTATTACCCTTAAATAAGCAACTTCCGCTCTGAGTGTTTGTGTAGACTGCCCAATTATCTTTCCCTCCAGGCACAGTGAACTCCTAATTGCGATGCGTGTCTTGTTCATATCCTCATATCTAAATAAACATCCATCCCAGTTTCAGCATGGACTATTCCAAATATTTGCATCACGGTGACATTGTTTGGACAAAATGTGTCTGCCAAAGATACATGCCTTGTGCCTCGTGGGGTCCAACAATCGCACGCAAAAACACTCACATCTGGCTCTTCTCTAGTGTCACTTCTTGGGGAGTTATTTCATTTGCACTTAT